GGTATTATATATAAGATTCAGGCATCCACTGGAGCTATACACTGAATGATTCAGTGCCAAGTTCATTAAATACCAAAGTAACCCCCAAATTTGGATAATTCTCATTCTTCCAAAGTCCTGATTTGGAAAATTCTATTCCTCCAGCTAACTTTTCACAGCTGACTGTAAAGTCAAATTCACATAATTTAAAACTTTGGTTCTGAGAATGACTAAAAAGATCACTTTTTGTATTTTCCTCAATCATCTTATTTTTCCAAATTCAGGTCTAAATGTCTTTGTCTTTACATAATTTTTTAACGGTTTGAGAATATGATATATGTATATAATGTTTCAATCAAGTCCACCCACTCCATTCCTTCCTCCAGGTCCTTCCCTATTCCCCTGCTATCCCACCCCCACTGATTTTATGTGTTCTTTAATAAAAGAAAAAAGCAAAAAATCCACTGAGCCATTTAGTGCTGCCAATATGTGCCTGGGTATACGGTCAGCTACTGGGTAGCCTCTCAGAGGCCAAATCTCTCAATAAAATGAATTATCTCTCAGCAGTCCTAATTGTCAATAGTTCCTCAGCTAGCAGTGAGTGGGACTCCCTAATCACCTCCCCACCACACACTGTAATTTTGTCTGGCTAGATCTTGCAAAGTCTTTTTAAATTTTTTATTTTATGTGTATGTGTATATTGCTTGCATGTACGTAGGTGCACCCCTGTCATGCAATACCCGCAGAGGTCAGAAGAGGTTGTCGGATCCCCTGAAACTGGAGTTATGGACAGCTGTTAGCCACCATGTGGCTGCTGGGAATCAAACCCGGATCCTCTGCAAGAGCAGCCAGTGCTCCTAACCACTGAGCCATCTTTCCAGTCCCAGATCTTGTAAAGTCTTGTGCATGCTGTCACAACCAGTCTGAGTTCAAATGTGCATCTGCACTATTGTATCTGGAAAACACCATTTTGCTGTGGTTATCTACTGCCTCTGATTCTTACATCTTTCCATCTCCTCTTCCCCACGATCCTTGAGCCCTGGAAGGAGGTAGTGTGAAACACATGTCTGATTTAGGGCTGAGCACTATGCAGTCTTTTATTCTCTGCACAATGGCTAGGTGTGGGTTTGTGTTTACTGTCATCTGTAAAAAGAAGCGTCTCTGATGAGGACTGAGAGATGTACTAATCTTATAACGATAAGTCTTTACGAGGTAGTCACTACGATGTCCATTTAGCAGAAATGTCCATTTAGTAGTAGGTTCTCCACTATAGCCTATGAACTACCTAACCATGGGTCCTTGGCCCCATTAACAGTGCTAAGCATGAGTTCCATTATGTGGCCTGGGCCTTAAAAATCAATCAAAAAGTGTTGGTGCCCCCATTAACATTTATTCCACTATTGCACCAATGGGCATATTTTGCCAAGCTGGTCCTTACTGTAGCTTCATAGGATTCACTGCTGGGTAAGATGATGACTGATTACTTTTCTCTCCTGGTAGCATTCATAGCACCTTCTAATACCATAAAAGCTAGCCAGAAGGGATGAAGCATCCAGGTCAGTACCAACTTGATTTCTCTATGTTCTATGACTCAAGTATGTGGTTTTCTTCAGTAATAGTATCTTACTGTCAAGTTCTGGAGGGTAACTAAAAGTAATGGCCTGTAATGTTTTGGGGTCTATTGACCCTACTGTCCAACAACTCCAAAAGAGGTAAAGCCATTCGTGACACTGAGCTTTTTTATTTGACAGCTTATGGTGTTTGGGAGAGGCACAGACCCCTTGTTATAGGATAATTACTTTAAAACTCTTTTTATATATGTATACATATATATTTTAGGAAGTTCTAGAGTAGTATGTCTCTGTATGGCTTTTTAAAAGGTCTATAGAGTCAGTTAACCCTCCTCAGACTCTCTCCTGGGTTCCCATTTCCACTTACACACAGAATGATTATTCCCAGCTCCATCCATTCACCTGCAAATTTCTGGTTTTTCTTAAACAGTTGAGTAATATTCCAATGTATAGATCTACCACATTTTCATTATTCATTCATCAGTTGATGAATACCTAGGCTATTTCCATTTTCTGGCTATCATGAACAGAACAGCAAAGAACATAGCTGAGCAAATATTTCAGTGGTAGCATAGTCCTTTGGATATATGCCCAAGAGTAATACAGATGTTTGGGGAATCTCCATGATTTTCATAGTGTCTACACCAATTTGCACTCCTACAAACACTAAATGTTCTCCTTTCTCCATATACATGTCAGCATTTGTTGTCTTTTTAAAATTATTATTATTTATCATAGCCATTCTGACCTGGGTAAGAAGTCTCAAAGTACTTTCATGGTTAAGGAAACTCATGGGGGCTGGAGAGGTGGCTCAGTGGTTAAGAGCACTGGTTGCTCTTGCAGGAGAACTGGCTTCAAATCCCAGCACCTACACAGTGGCTAACAACCATTTGTAACTCCAGTTTCAGGAGAATTCAGTGCCCTCTTCTGACCTCTGTAGTCACTGCATGACATGGGCACACTTAGATACAAGCAGGCATAATATTCATCCATATAAAATTTTTTGGGGGGTCTTTTTAGAAAGGTTCTCCCAGTAGCCCCAGCTGGCCTGGAACTCACTATGTAGAATAGGCTGGCCTTGAACTCAGAGATCCTCCTGCGTCTTCCTCCACAGTGCTGGGATTAAAAGCGTGTACCACCATGCCAAGCAAATTTTTTTGTTAAGTACTTCCCAGGGGCTGAAGAGATGGCTCAGTACCCACATGGTGACTAACAACAGATCCAACACCCTCTTCTGGCCTCCACAGGCTTTGCAAGACACAAGTGCACTTACATACATGCAGGCAAAACACCCATACACATAAAATAAAAATAAATCAAAAAACTAAATCTCCAGCATTTGTATTTCT